CAGTAGAACTTAATTTACAGCGGCAGAGGGTTCTCTGCGGGCAGGTGCTTCCTGCCAGTGTTGGCGGACGCCAATGTTGTTTACTAATTGACGGCCGTCGATGTTGATCAGTGGCAGAAGCTTTCTGCGGCTCCATGCTGTGTTGAGTTGGAGTGTTGACAGGTGCTTGTCTCTAGACTCGTGTGTCGCCATGCCGGACGTGCTTGCCACTGCAGATTCGGATTTGCGCTTCCAGATGGAGGAAGCAGGCATAAGTGCAGATATCCAGAAGAAGATTTTTGCGGAGGGCTTCACATCGGTGCGCGTGTTTGCGGGCATCGAGGAGTCACGAGAGAATGTGCGTGCAGCTTTGAAATCTTCTTGCAGCCTCGATGCTAACGAGAGCCTGGCAATGCGCAAGGAGATCGCCCTACTTCTGTCTGTATGGGAGACTTGCCGTGCGCAGCTCACCCACCAAGAAAAGAACAAACAAGATGCAAAGTTCGGCACCCAGAACTGATTGGTCATGACCTCGGAATATATTGCCATGCGTGCGCGAGTGGAGCAAGTGTTGAAACGCGGCTTGAAAGACCGGGAGGCTCCGAGCAAGGCTCTTGTCGCTTCCAAACTTGAGCAAGTAGAGGAGGGAGTGCCGGTGGCGGAGGATCTGCACGATGTCACATCTTATGAGGACGTGGAAGGCGAAGCATACAGTGCCGTCATTGATCCGGCGTCCGCAATGCTGCGTATCCGACCGGGCCGGGCCTCTACAACTCCTCCGAGCAATCCGGAGGAGCTCCGGCTTCGCCATCGCCGTATTGGTCTGGCGTGGGATTTTGTGAAGTCGAGGCATTCCACCAAGGCATGGCTTCCAGACAACTGTGTGGACTGTTTCCGAGTTCTCTCTGACCATGTATTGGGCTCTTCAGTTGCAGGTCTCCGCAGTGCATGTGGTCAAGGCCCCACGTGGTCCCTTGTGCTAAGCTACGAGCTGGAACTCCGCAAAGCGGCTTACCGCTACATTCGCGATGGCCAGTGCGCATGTCTGGATAATGCCCTCCTCAAGGCTTGCGAAGCACCAGATGTGTTGAACACACATTTCGTGGTCCCCTTTACACTTGGAAAAGTCGATGACGCTCCAGACATGCCTTCTGTCCCTTGGCAGTGGCAGCGCACAAAGGGGGAGAAGGGCAGTGGGAAGGGCAAAAGCACATGGGACCGCCAGTGGGGCAAGTCATCCAAGACTCCAGATGGCAAGCAGGTGTGCTTCAAGTACAACAAGCAAATCGGATGCAACGATCCGAACTGCAAATTCGCCCACGTTCGCTGCCGATGTTTTGGGAAACACTCCTTTCAGCAGTGCCGCTTCAAGAAGGCGCCGCCGAGCCCGGCGGCTCCTGCGAACTGAACTACTTCCAGCAGCCAGGAGCCTCCTCCAGGCGTGCTGCTGCCTGAAGTGGGGGAAGTGGTTGCGCAGCACGCTGTTGGCAAGCGCAAAGCAGTGGGTGCCGAAGTTCATGATGCCCCGGAGTTAGAAGATCAACTGTGGAGCTACGTATCTGCAAGTGCATGCGAGAACGGAGACTTTGACGGCTTAGAGTACGTAGAAGGAGGCGAGGGAATCCGCCTGGCCGGAGTTAGAGGACATGGCTGTGCTTTCTAGTACCTTCTTAAGTCAGCGCAAAGCTTTCACAGACGGACTCGGGCTTTGCTCACCAGGACGCTGGCCTCCGGCAGCGAGACAGGATGCAACGTGTAATGCTAACCTGGCGTTTCATGAGAACCTTGGAGCACAGCTTGCTGTCGACACCACCCTCGTGTCGCCTCTCGATGCCAGTGGGGCTGCGCGCCGGCATCAGCGACAGTACCGTGGCGCCGCCCTGCGCCTTGCCCGCAGGTCCAAGGAACGCACCTACCCCGAGCTACTGCGCTCGCAAAGGTGCAGGCTCGTTGTCCTTGCACTCGAGGTCGGAGGCCGCTGGAGCTCAGAGGCTGCCCAGTTTGTCCGCCTCCTCGCTCGCTGCCGGGCCCGCGCCGTCCCTCGCCCGCTGCGACCTGCAACCATCGCAGCCTTCACCTCCCGATGGTCTGCCCTGCTTGCCTGTTCTGCCGCCAGAGCCTTCGGTGCCAGTCTGCTTGGTCTTTCCCTTGCCGGCACTGCCAATGTCGACGGCGACCAGCCGCTGCTCAGCGAGGTTCTCTCTTCGACTCGCTTCGACGAGACCCCGCCCCTTGCCAGCCGTCTGCCACCGCGCCCTTGACAGCGCCTTGCCGTGCCTGCAAGCCTGGACTTCACGCCGTAGGACGTCGCCTTGGATTTGGGCCTGCTGCACTGGGACCGCGTCGCGGATTGTCGCAAAAAGTGCGCGCAAAAAAAAAAAAAAACCTTGGCTGCCAGTTGCATGAGTTTGTTTCGTCTAGGGTTGACTGCCGCGCCTTGGCCTTCAAATTAGCTGCTGGTCAAATTTCGGCGAAGAGATGCTGGCGTGTGGACGACAGCTCATCTGGAACGAATTGAAGAGAGCAGGTTGTCGGCTTCCGGTGGATCATGTCGTACCAGGCCAGCCTTTCGACCTTGCTGCTGTCGAAGAGCTTTTGCGACTCGCGGGTGACCCGGACTTTGCAGCTTTCTACACGGGGAAGGATTTTTTGGCGAAGGGAGTCAGGTTTGGCGTGGATGTTGACTTGCCCCGAGTGCCTGCAGTGTTCACAGCCAAGACCCGCTGGAGAGTCTACGACGAGGAGAATGCGCATGCAGGTTTGCGAGAAAACTGTGTGTCCGCGAGGGGTCACGCCGATGAAGTGCAGGCCCAGTTCGAGAGAGAGGCTGCACTCGGTGCCATGTACGAGACCAGAGTCGACCGAGCGAGAGCTGATCTCGGTGAGTTATCACTGGCGTCGCTTGGAGCGATTGAGAAAAAGGACGGGAGCTATCGTGTCATTCACGACGGCACTCATGGTCTGGCAGTTAATAGCAAGATCCGAGTGCGAGATCAGATCCGCAACCCTTCAGCAGGCGACTTGCGGCGTGCGGCCCAGGCTCTACCTTCTGCTTTCTTCGTTCTGTTAGGGGATGTAGCGCGTGCACATCGACTAGTGAAGGTAGCGCAGTGCGACTGGAGATATCAATGCTGCAGAACTGGTGCAAAGGGCGACAACTTGGTCTGGGTCAATTGCGTAGGGACCTTCGGGATTTCTTCAGCAGCCTACCACTGGTGCAGACTCATGGCGGGTGTCGGACGTTCGTCCTTTTACTTGTTCGGGAAGCTGGGATGGATGCAGCTCGTGTACGTGGACGAAATCCTTTGGCTTGTAGGTGAAAAGGGTGGTATCGAAAAGCTGATGACCATCATCTTTTACTATTCGGCTTTGGGGCTGCCTCTAGCGTGGAAGAAGTTTGCGGGTGGTTTTGTGTGCCGTTGGGTCGGCTTTGAACTGTCGATCGCAGACAAGGCGATGGGTCTCACGGAGAAGCGGGCAAGCTGGATCATCGATTGGGTCTCCCACACCGTCGATCAGGGTCAAGTGCGGATTTCGGATTTTCATGCAGTGTTAGGGCGGTTGTCCTTTGCATTCACAGCGCTGCCCAATTATCGGCCGTTGCTCGGCCCGCTGTATGCTTGGGTGTCAACAATGGGTGCTTTCCACACGTGCCGGCTGCCGAATCTCGTCTCGTGGTGTTGTTGTTGAATTTCTTGAAGCACTCGTTGAAAGAGGTCGGTGGAAGGACGTCCGTGGGTCAGTTCCACGAGGCAGAGACAGAGCTCTCCAGAACGGACGCCCGGGCTGAGGGCGACGAAATCTTCATCGGGGGCTGGGCTTTGGATAGCAGCGATCGCTCGAAGTGCAGGTGGTTCTCTGAGCGCATAGACCACAGATCGGGCAGATGGCTTTATCTGGCTGGAGAGTCGTACAGAGCAATTGCTTCGCTTGAGTTGCTTGCCACGCTTGCAGGTGTTGTCCTGTTCGACCTGCCTGCAGATCGTGTGCTTGGAACCGCATGTTCGGCGGGCACCGATAACCGAGGCAATACATTTGCGATTTCCAGGTTACTCACAACGAAGTTTCCACTGTGTGCTTTCCTACTTGAGCTGGCCGTACAGCTCCAGATGCGTGGGACTGAGTTACGTGTGCGATGGCTACCACGGCTCCAGAATATGGAGGCGGACCAGCTAACGAACGGTGATTTCAGTGGGTTCAGCGAGGACAAGCGCCTTCGCTTCTCACTGTCTGATTTTCGTGGCATGGTGCTCGCCGACATGTTAGAACTTGGTGTTGACTTGTACGAGGAGATCAAGGAGGCACGTGCCAAGGGTAGAGTCAAGGTGCCCAAGCTACGCGCGAGTGAGTTACTAAAGAATTCTGATCCTTGGCAGTAGGGTCCGCTGCTGCATGCTCTTCGAGAGGGGCAGTCTTTTGTCAGCAGCAGCTGATGTTCTTTGTCAGCCGTCGAGCTGATGCCAGTCTTGAGCCTGGATCTTCAAGTCCACACCGGGAAGAAAGAGAGAGCAGAGTGCATGTTCTGGGTTATTCGTGTCCTTAAGCTGGTTGTGCTTGCGTGTTTGCTGGAGCGCGTTAGGATCCCGCGGGGTGGCCTGCCAGGGACAGGAAGTGGGATCCGTGAGCGCTGTGCATGTCTTGAGGTGTGCTTTGTTGCTTCATGGTGTGTTGCATGTCCGGTGCACTTGGAACTTGCTTGTTCGATAGTGCTGTCTCAAGGTTGTGCTTGGGATGTCAATTGTTGGGGAGGTTGCCCCCCAGGTGCTCACAGCAGGCTTGCTGGAGTGTTCTTGTTTTCCCACCCGCCCGCCCTGTGATTGCAGGGAGGGGGGGCAGTCTTTTGTCAGCAGCAGCTGATGTTCTTTGTCAGCCGTCGAGCTGATGCCAGTCTTGAGCCTGGATCTTCAAGTCCACACCGGGAAGAAAAAGAGAGCAGAGTGCATGTTCTGGGTTACTCGTGTCCTTAAGCTGGTTGTGCTTGCGTGTTTGCTGGAGCGCGTTAGGATCCCGCCTTTGGCGCCATGATCGCCGAGGGCTTTGATGAGGGCCAGGACGGCGAGACGGTGGAGTATGCGGCCGAGATCCTCCAGAACGAGGGCGAGGCCTACTTCCTTCGCCAACAGGCGGCGCAGATGGGGCACCAAGGCTTCCAGAACAAGAAATATTAATTCTGCAGCACGGGGTTCTCGAGGACCAAGCCGAGGAGGAGAGCCCTCCTTCACCGTCCGAGTCGTGGCTCGAGGCTGAGCTGGAGCTCCCGGCGACACAGGCGACTCAAGCACCTCCAGAACGAGAGCCCGCGGAGCCAGCCCCAACACTACTTCCTCAAGACGTGCCTGGACTGCAAGACGCTTGAAAGGACCCGCCGGGAGACGGACACTTCGGGACAAACCTCAGGATACCCAGGGAGCTAGGACAACTGCAACCACAGCAACGTGATGTGGCAGGGAACCAATGCTCACGTGTGGCACTGGCACTGCGAAGACTGTGGTTTGCGCCGCCAGGGAAGGATGCAGCAGCGGGACGACACCTTCGGCAACATGCTTGGCGGAGCCCTGGCGGACAACTTCAATAATGGTGCCGACACGCCGGGTGTGAAGGTGATGGAGCTTGCCGGTACCGTGGTGATGGTCCAGAAGAGCGGTGGCGTCCCAGTGGAGCTCGAGAAGCTCCCTCCATCGTGGAGCGATGTGTGGCGATTTATCGACAAGAGGAGGCAGCGAGGAACCTGAGTGTCAACACGGCAGCCGCGAGTGCAACGAGACCAGGTTCTCAACCAGTGCCAAAAGCCCGTCCTGGAAGCACTTTGTCAGGTCGGAGCGGCAACGGCCAAGACTCGCAGGCCGGGCGACTTCCGTAAAGAATGTGTCTGACGACACCATGTTCAAGTCTGGCAAGTACCGAGGCGAGACCTTCTTGAAAGTGTATACCGACTTCCCTGAGTATGTCGCGTGGATCGTGTCTCAGAACACCAACCTTGTTGAGTCCTCGCTCCGGGCCTTCTACCGCTATGTCATGTGCAAGAAGGGAGAAAAGAAGGCCGCCAACCCGGTGGCGCACATGGTCTCGGAACCGACAGCTTCGGAGTCTGACTTGCTGGCGGTGCTTGACACAGGGTGCAACCAGACCTGCCGGCCTTGTCCTGGACCTCGGCAACCTTTTCATGCAGGATTTGGAAGTCGAAGATCGAGATGGTCTTCCTCCCGTCAAGCTGCTCCCTTTGAACGACGGCAACCGCCAACACTTTGCCATGATGGCCAGTGAGAATCTTCCAGCCCAGCTCGACCCAAACGACACACCACCAGAGCTGGATGAGCAAGAGTCAGAGGAGAGCGACTTTTGACAGCGACAAGACGGAGCATGGGTTCGAGTACATGTGGTTCCTTGGGGTTCTCTATATGATCCTCGCCTGGAGCCCAGCTTGGAGGAACAGATCGAGGCTGAAGTGTTGAGGTGCTCGGTCCGCGGCCCGGAGGACCTGGAGACCACCGACTACGTCGATGGACCGTGGATCGGGTACACCTACTGGTCGCGAAAAAAAACACCTACTTTTACCGGGACTATGACCACGTCCATGAAGAGAACAAGGGCAGCCCGGCGGAGACCGAAGTCGGCATGATTGCGGCGTTCGACGAGGAGAAGCCCATCACCCTCAATAAAGGTCAAAAGAGGCAGCTGCAAGAAGTGAGCGACAATGTTGGCCGGCAGGACGCGGCTATGTGGTCGGAGCTGCAGGGCGTGCCGGCATACCGCCGAACATCTCGACTTCTACCTCGGGGGTGCCGGTCCTTTGTGATGGAGCTTTTCGCTGGAGCAGCCGCCATCACAGCGGTGGCCATGGGCTATGGCATGCCGGCTTCTATGCCGATTGATCTTCATAGTCCTGGCTGGGACCTTCGCGACCCAGCTGCCCGGCAACGGCTTCACTCCCACATTGAGGCCGAGGACCCCTACCTCCTGGCGATCGCTCCGGTGACTTTGCCCTGGAACCAGTGAAATGTGGCTGTTTTACGGCCAGCCATCGAGCTACTGCTGGTGGGATGCTGCTGGAGGCTGAAAGGACGTGCCGCAGGGCGAGGGCTGCGAGCAAGGCGATGCGGCGATGCTGTTTGCACTCGGACAGGTGCTTAGAGCTCCCGCTCGCCCGGCACCGTAGACCGCAGGATGCACAGGGACTCGGACGGTCGTTTGACTTGCAGTCACAAAAAGGTGCGTTAAAGAAGAAACAGCAGCGCGAGGCATTCTGCCGAGCAGCAGCATGCAGCAGCTGCGTTGCATCCCGACGATGCCCTCATGGCTTTCCTTGACGACCTCTACGTCGTCATGGTGCCCGAGCGAGCTCGAGCGGCCTTCGATAGCACGACTGGAGCCGTCGCCGCCCACTGCGGCATCGCATCCAACTTGGGCTATACCAGCATTTATGCAACCGATGGCCCCGGCACCCCCTGGCATATCGGAGCTGGGCGACGCGGTCTGGCGAGGCAACAAGCCGCCGCGAGCGGAAAGAGGCATCGTCGTCCTCGGCACGCCCATCGGGCACCCCGACTTCGTCAGCCAGTGGGCGGCGGAACGCACGTCGGAAGAACCCCGCTTCCTGCAACAGCTGCCCTTGCTCCCGGACCTGCAGCGCAGTTGGCTCCTGCTCTCCATGTGCGCGGCCCCCTATAAAAGCGATTCGCATGTCGCGAGGGTATGCGCAAACGCACGATGCGGGCATCTGGGAGACTCTGCGGTCCTGTATGGGCGGCTTCAGAGGAGCTTGCCTCGCAGCATTGAGAGCCGCGGCGGAGAAGCTGCATGCCTTCGCGTCCCAGGCCGGGGCAGGCGGGCGCTATGCAAAATTGCATTGCGACGCCGGTTCCACGCGCTCGCTTGCCCTCGCACACGCCTGCTAGCCAGGCGAGCGTGGGTCCGCGTCGCGAGCTAAAGACGCGCTGGGGGCTGAAGGGCAGGTCGTGCCACAGCAATCAATGCACACCGGCGCCGCCTCGACCTGGTTGTGTACGGCGCGACGCGCAGCGGCGGAGCCTTGTATTGTGACGCGACGCTGGTATCTTCCTTGACGCGTACGGGACACCCGCAACCTTGTGCAGCGGTGGTCGACGGCGCTGCACTCAAGGAAGCCGTTAAAGCCGGAAGCTCACTACCTACCCGCCCGAGGGCCGCAGCAGCTCGCCGTTTTGGGCTCGGACGTGGGCGGACGCTGGAACGACCAGGCGCGCGCTTTCGTGCGGGACCTCGTCCGGCTGGGCGAGGCGCTGGTGTGGCATGTTGTCCGTGGCGGTGCAGCAGGCAGTCGCCCGCACAGCATTGTAGGCGTTTGGGAGCAGCCACTGCAACCAGAAACCTGCGAAGGCTCGCCGCTGGACACCCTGCCACCACGAGGCCCCCACCGAGAGTCGCCTGCCGTTGCCGACTTGACACGAGACTGTAGCGTAGTCTGTCAGGTAGACTAGTCAGCTGCGACCGCGGCTAGAAGCTCTTCCGTGGGCAGCCGTGGGCAGGTCGCAAAGGCCGTTGCAAAAAAATAAAAACATCACCCCGTGGCAGGGCACGTAAAATTCTGCGACATGTACTATGCACTAGGAACCCATACAGCAAGAGTGAAGATAAAAAGGTGTGACGAGGCTAGTGCCCCCGGTGTTCTGGCAGGAACATCAGTAGCGTTCAACCATCGACCCGAGTTCAGTGAACGCACGGGGAATCGGCGTCCAAAGGATTTCAGGACAAAGACCATCTCGAGCCAGGAAGCTCGCCAGCAATGCTCACCGGACTGGCCGTGGTCGGCCAGCACACCGCAAACGGCATTGACAAAGCGTGGAGGAAGCTCGCCAAAAGCACTCACAGAGAGTTGCCTCCGCGTGACCAGTAGATCGTCCACAAAGGACCGGACCGGAGTCGCCCAAGTTTGCCACAGGCGTGGGCAAAGTGGGCTCATGTTCGATCAAGTTCTCCGCTTGCAGGTCGCCGGGGTCCGAAGACAACGTAACCGAGGCGATTCCGCAGTAAATACATGTAAACTACGAAGTGCACGCAAAACGTCCAGCATATGGTGCTTCGTGGGCGGCACGAAGGACCATCAGCCGATTCAGGTTGCAGAAGCCGGCTAAAGAGTCCGCCCGGCTGTTCTGCTTTTCAAATTATCCCAGCGATCCAGCCTGCACGCTGCTACCCCAAGCCATGAAGTTGGCGTTGCGCGCCTCCCTTTGCCCAGGGCCTCCTGGCTGCGGAGGGGACGTGGACGCTCTGGGCGACCATTGCCATGCTTTGGTATGCACGCTCTGGTCTTCTACGGAGCAACACCTCTCGGTGGGGCCTTGTGCTGCGATGGTAAAGAAAAAATACCGGCCAACGGCAGGGGCTGTGGCCGCCGGTTCTGTGACATCTGGGATTGACATGTGTGCGCGCAGATGGCTAATCCTTGCTTGACTTGGGCAGGCAGTTGGGGATTCTTTTTTGATGGGATTTTGAGCCGTGCAGCTGCTGGGTCCGAGGGCGCAGAAATTGCTGGCAGCGCTTTTGGTCATTGTCGAATGCATTGGCGGGTGATTGGAGCCCGAGTAAACGATGAAGTGTTGTGCGACCATTTCTTTATACAGGAACGTAGCACAAAGCGGGTTTTCTTGGTTGCTGGCGCAAACATAAATAAAGCCAACCATGCCGAACACCTCTCCTTAATGTGTGGGCTGGCGAGTTGTAGGGGGTCCCGATGATGAAAGCTACCTGTCACACCGATGTGCTGGTGGTTTTGCCACTTGTGTTCATCGGTGTCACAACGATTGGTGTGCAGTCAACTGTTTGACATCGACGGCCGGATGCACGAACACATTGTGTTCGCACAACGTACCATGTCGCGACTTATGCCCGATGAGCGTGCTGCAAGGTCGTGGCGGATTTCGATATGTCCACGGACGATGCATGCCGCATGCATGACCAATCTTTGGATAGCATCTTGCTCGCAGCAAGTCTGTCAGAAGTATAGGGAATCGTGACAGTGATGTGGTTGGTCATGGCTTTTGATTGCAACGCAGCTGCTTCTAGACCGTGGTCTGACATTGTAAGCTCAGGCCCTGAACCCGTGGGCGAAGTTTCGGAGGCGTTGCCCATTGGAAAAACCAGATCCATGGAATCGGCGCAAAACATGAAGCTCCCGCCTCTGATAAATATGCTGGCCCCGATTGACGCGTCATGTAGCCGTGTCATGCACGCTGTTTCCAAGCAGGTTGGACTGCGTCACGGCCTGGTTCAATTTCTTGCCCGCTGTGGTTATCATCCTCAACGTTTTGGCCATAGGGATCAGTCTCGACTTTCATCGTGCTTTAGCCGCATTGTGACGCAACGTGTTACCAGTTACTGAGCTATTGATTAGTGATTTGTATCTAGGCACTCTTCACCAGGAATTACTCACTATCAGCAGGCAGCTGGTACGAGGTAACTGACGAGCGACCAGTAGTTGTTAGTACTTAGTACTGACAGTTGACGGCACATGTGTTTGCGCATTCATGATCATTCCTTCCTAATCATTCTAACCAAGTCTAGCGTCGAGCTGTGGAATCTGAGGTGGACATATTGTTTGGCAGATTTTGGAATACCTGTTCGCGCCCTGACTACTTGATAGAGTGCGAGTCGGTAACCCGCCGCCCGCCGTGCTTTGGTGGAGCTGCTAACCAACCCGTCGCCATGATCAGGGCGGAGCACAATAATTGAACTTCCGAGACGAATCCACGTGTTGGCCGATCGGGAGCAGCAATTCGCGGAGCATTTGCAGAGCTGCAGCTGCACACTGTTGCTGCTTTTGGGTTCTCCAGTCGCTCTCTATAAACAAAAGCCATCAACGGCAAGCATCTGCCGAAGGTCTGAGCCGGCTCTGGTCGAGCTTCGTGAAAGTTTTTTAACAAATCAACAAAAGAAAGTACCCATTGAACCGGTCCTGCAGGCATTCAACTCATCAACCAGGCACAGTCCTTCAACCCTGTCACGCCGTTGTGCTACGCTGTATGGCGAGTAGTTGGAACCAAGCTGGGCTTTGGTGTTCATCAATGAGGGATTGGAACTGCCGGCTCGGTGTACTTCATGTGCAGGTACTGTTTCTCGTTCGCTGTTTTCGTTGCAACTTGTCAGGTAGTTTTCTATTCGCTGGAGTTTATCGTCAAGGCCGAGAGATCTGCAACTTATTATTATTCTCACGCTATGCACTCCCACCATGCCTTCACTTGATTCAGGTCCGAACTTATGGGTGCCATTGGTATTGGTGCGGGCCAGAGCGTATGTGGAATTATTTCGACTGGCTTTGCTTGGCAATGATGTATGCGGCTTGCCTACTGGTGATGGTTTGGTGAGAGTTGACACACACTTGCGTGGGACATACAAGTTGCAATTCAGGAAAGCCTCTCATGCATGCGTTGAGGTGGATTTGGTTCTCACCACCGTGCTTGCATTGGAAGGGCGTGTCGGTGCAGACGCGCCGGAGGCGCATGCTGCAGTGCGTGTGAGGTTTGCGAACTCTGTTGGGCGCAGGCTTTTTCCAATCTGGCCCTGGTGAAGATATTTCGGTTGGCACGCCTCGCACGGTTGATTCGGGCCTTGCGATTCAGGGCGTTCAAAGAGCTGAAGTTGCGCCTCGGCAAGCAGAGCGAGTGTATACGAGCAGACATGCAAACAATTTACGTACTGGCAGTGGTTTTAAGGATTGTGCTGGGTGTATTTTCTGGCCTGCGTGTGATCGGTTGGGCGATAGTGTTGCTCATCGCCGTGATTTATGCCATCGGGGTTGTGCTGCGCAGCTGGATTGCAAGAAGCAAGATGCACTTTATCGATGGTGGCAAATGCCGCTATTCCTGGGTGTCCAAGGCAGCTTTCTTGGCGATGATCCCGAGCAAAAGGCTGTAGGATGTCGCTTTCGTGTGTAGGACCTTGCCGCAAGAGTCTTGTGCAGGAGTTCAGCACAGTCTTGGCTTCCATGTTCACCTGTCCCAACCCCAGTTTCGGGAGAGCAT